ACCAAACTGATTTTTTACCATGGAGAAAAAATGTTGGACCACAGAGCTGACTTCGGACTTTTGTTTTAGTAAGAAAACCCATGTGACCCGAGTACAGTCATCTACAAGTGTAAGGAACCAACGGGCACCAGAAACATTTGGGACATTTGAGGGTCCCCACACATCAGTATGGATTAAATAAAAGGGAAAAGTGCTCATATTATTACTAACTGGAAAAGGTACACGCTTGTGCTTAGCAAGCTCACACACTTCACAATGAAGACTTTCCACATCTAATTTGCTACAAAGAGAAGGGAATAACATTTTTATGACTCTAAAGGAAGGATGTCCAAGACGATAATGATGTAGGAGGACTTTCTCCCTGTTGGTCTTTATTGAGTCAGAGAAAAAAGAGTTGCTATTTTGTAGGTCTGGTGGCAGATTCGGGCTGTCCAAGTAGTAAAGGCCATTCCATTCTCTAGCATGTCCAATCGTCCTCCCCGAGTGCTTGTCCTGCAGTATACAAGCATTGTCATAAAAAAATAACATTACATGATAGGTCTTTTGTGAGTTTTTTTTATGGAAATCAGATTGACAGATAGTTTAGGAATATGAAGGACATTTTTAAGGGTTTTGGATGGGCTTATTTGAACTTCTCCTTGACCTGTTGCAGTCATCAGAGTGCCATCTGCTGTGGATATTTTCTTATTGCTAGGGCAAGGGGTGTAAGAGGAGAAATGGTTAGGTAGGGGTGTCATGTGGTCAGTAGCCCCAGAATCTAGTGTCCAATATTGGTTATAGTGTTTATCTGAGGCATTAAGTCCATAGGAAAGAAACTCACCTGAATATGCTAGAGAACAACTACCTGTTGGTTTGTCCAACTTGTTGAGGAATGATCTCATCTTCTCTACTTCATCTTGGTTAAGTTGAATCACTCCTCCCTTGTTTTCTTCACTGGTTGCAACTATGTGTGCTTGTCCTCTCTTTCTTGTGTTGTCTCCTTTTTTCCCACCTCCCTGTCTCGGTTTTGGGCCCCCCATTCTCTACTAGGTGGCTTTCCGATCAGCTTCCAGCAGTTGTCACGAGTGTGGCGAGGCTTGTTGCAGTAGGTACACCACACTCCTTCACCTTTCTTTTCCATATTATTTATGCCCCACTTTTTCTGGTCTGCCATCATGGCCGAGGCCCCAGAAGCTACCATGGCTGAATTTTCCGTGGTTAGGTTTTCTAGCATGACTCCCCTTCTGCTTTCTTCACTTCTGACCATAGCTACTACTTCATTAATTCCTGGAACTTTTTCTTTTCCAAGGATCTGGGCTCTCACTTGATCAAAAGCAGAGTTAAGCCCCACCAAGAAATCATAGACTCTATCTTGCTCAATATACTCTTCGAACATTGCTGAATCTGCTGGGCACTTGGCTTTTATGACCCTGTAGTGATCTAACTCCATCCACAATGATTTGAGTTGATTGGCGTACTCTGTAACAGTCTTGTTTCCCTGTTTTGCAGCCATAGTCTTCACCTTCACGTCATATATTTGAGCAACATCTTTAGCTTTGGAGTATGTCTCCTCCATGGCCTTCCAAATCTCCTTTGCAGAATTAAGAAACATACAAGTATCAGTGATTTCTGGGATCATTGAGTTCCATAGCCATGCCATGATCATAGAGTCCTCTTTGTACCATTTTTTAAATTTGGGATCTCCTTCTTTGGGGGCGTCATCAGTCAAGTGGTTAGCTTTCCCTTTACCTTTCAAAGTTCTGCCAACAAGCTGGGACCATTTCAAGTAATTCTTCCCATTCAATCGATAGGCAGTGTTGATGTTCTGCAGCTCTTCCTGAGTTTTCTGCACCACTTCATCAGTTGGGTTTGCCATGGCCACAACAGTACAACAACCTCAATGCAGTGAGGATGTATTTGATTGTTGCGACGACAACAAAGGAACAACACTGCAAATCACAGCAGCAATGAAGGCTGCCCTGAAAGGAATGATGGACAACAATGAAGGCTGAAAAGAAAAAAGGATGATTAGCAGCAATGAAGGCTGCCGACTAGGGTTTTTTGGTTTGCGCAGTCAGAGGCGGCTCCCAGAATTTGAGAGCTCTGATACCATCTCAGAAATTAGGGTAGAATAAATTGATTTTATTATTATCGATTATGCTGAGAATACATCAGTCATATATACAAGGCTAGAAAGCTATTTTAGAAAATACAATAACACCTAAACTATCAGATCCCTATGATCCATGGATATTTCCCTCATACACTATAATTGTAATCTGCTAAATAAGGAAATACTACAACTAATAAAACACTGATCCTGACAGAAATAATACAACTAATAAAACAGATTATGACATCTATGGATGTCATTTAGACAATGAATGTACAATATCAATTAATTTTATATTTTAGTAGAAAGAAAATTTAATAACTATTAAAATTATTTTATTTTTATTATTATACTTCGACGCTCAAGTCAACATATGAAAGAGTAGAGAGTATAATGACCTATTTAGAGAGTTATAGTGACCTATTTAGAGACTTATATATATTTTTTCAATATAGAGACCAAATTAGAGACCTTATTTTAAACTTTGAAGTTGAAAGTTTTTCGATCATTTTATCGATTGCTACGAAAATTTAAAGAATAAATTAGAGATCGACAATTAGTGACCATAAAAACATAAAAACAGTCACAAACATTTTTTTCACTAAAAAAAACTTCAATCAAATGTTATTATTATTTATTTCACCGAAAACATTTGCTTCAAATTTTTTCTCCAATAAGTGGACTCATTTTTCCCTTAATTACTTTTTATTTTTCTAATATAAATATAAGTTATAAACTAATATCTATTAACTTTTATTTTATTGGACACAAATTCAGTATTCAATTAACTTAAAAAAATAACAAAAGTAATATAAAAATATATTATACATATTTTGATTAAATTTTAAAATTATAATTATATTAATTTTCACTTCCCTTTGACTTGAGAGTTTTCAACACTAAATCACCGCTATGCTTACGCCATCTTATTAGTCTCAAGTCAAAGTTTTCTAAATCACTTTCCTACCGCTATGCCTACGCCATATCCGCCATTACCATCGGCATGAATTTCTGTCACCAATTCACGATATATCTCTATAAATAGATTTAACTTTAGGATGATAAACAGTCATTATTCCTAGAATTGGTCTTTGCATTAGGTTTGTATAGTAATCATTTTTAAGATTTCATGTTTCTGGTTCAGAATTGTGATTTTAGGAATATTGTTTTTATGGAGTTTGTGTTGAATATCTGAAACGGGTCTTCTTAAATATGACTTAAAATTTGATTTGAATTTTTTATTTTTATTTTTTAATATTGATAACTTATATTTTCTTTCAATAATTGTGTTTTTGGATTTTTTTCTTTTGAATGTAATTTCCACCGATTTATAAGAGTTTTATTTTGTTATGGGTTTGTTATTATTTTTATCTTTAAATTTTGTTGATTTTCATCACTTAACTGCCTAAAGTTATTGCTTCTATCATGGTTACATTAGTGTCCTTAAAGAGTATATAAGGTTTATGCTTTTTTGGTAATTAGTAGTTAGGCAGTTATCAAAATTTCAGCACTTTCACTGTGATGAGCGCTAGCTGCATCTAGGGATGCCAAAAGTAGGTAATTAGAACTTGATGATTGCAAAGCTTTGAGGCACTTGGATATTTTGCCTTATCTACGATGCCACCCGACATGTGCAACATAGATTACTGAGGGAAAGTGCAAAGAACCTTGTGAGTAGATTGTACATCTAGGTCAACACCTTGTTATGAATCATGTCATTAAAGACACAGTTATTAGCATGATAAACAGTCATTATTCCTAGAATTGAGTAAGATTGAGTTATAAGATAAAACTCTCGGGGAGAAACTGTGGCGGTTAACAAGGTGGAGGGTGTGAATAGAGTTTCCCATTTGGTTAAGTTAGAAAATTGATTTCTTCTATTTGCCACAACCCCTTGTTGCATCACCAACAGTAGCTGGCTGTTCTTGGAAAACTAACATAAAGTGGTCTTTGCATTATGCATATGATTTAGTGATGCAGGGAAAACTGAAGCCACTCTCTCCTGTGAGTGCTCACTGATAATGATTGTCTTATATGAAATTAGTCATCTCTATTTGAGCTTGTTTTATACAGTAAACTGCAGAAATCAGTAGCAGATATGGAAAAGTTGTACCATGAGAGAAAAGGTGCTAATTTTGTCATGCCATCCAAACACCATGGACAAGAGAAGGTGTTCATTGATCCTTGCAGTTTAATTTGAATTATGTTTTGCTTCTGATCTCTGCTTAACCTCACACTTGGTTGAATTTCTTCATTTAGGTTTTGAAGGGTCAACTCTTTGTGGATCAATATTGTGAAAAGTAACAATTCAGCTTTATTGATTACATATCTAGTGGATTTGAACTAAACTTTATGGTTGTGGTAGATTTCACAGGTAAATGTTTAATGTTCTATTTCCTAAAGTGATTAGTACTAATTTCGTTTTTGTTGTTTGTTAAGTTCTTTGATATTTGTTCAGCTTCCTATGGAAATCCTCAACAGCCAGATTCTCTGCATTACATCAGTGGATCCGGTCGGTTAAATTCATCTCAAAAGGTATGCTTGATACTTTTCAATGAACATTCCAAGGTTTTTAATCCATCAACTTGTGAAACACAATGATTGTCTTATATGAAATTAGTCATCTCTATTTGAGCTTGTTTTATACAGTAAACTGCAGAAATCAGTAGCAGATATGGAAAAGTTGTACCATGAGAGAAAAGGTGCTAATTTTGTCATGCCATCCAAACACCATTGATCCTTGCAATTTAATTTGAATTATGTTTTGCTTCTGATATCTGCTTAACCTCACACGTGGTTGAATTTCTTCATTTAGGTTTTGAAGGGTCAACTCTTTGTGGATCAATATTGTGAAAACTAACAATTCAGCTTTATTGATTACATATCTAGTGGATTTGAACTAAACTTTATGGTTGTGGTAGATTTCACAGGTAAATGTTTAATGTTCTATTTCCTAAAGTGATTAGTACTAATTTCGTTTTTGTTGTTTGTTAAGTTCTTTGATATTTGTTCAGCTTCCTATGGAAATCCTCAACAGCCAGATTCTCTGCATTACATCAGTGGATCCGGTCGGTTAAATTCATGTCAAAAGGTATGCTTGATACTTTTCAATGAACATTCCAAGGTTTTTAATCCATCAACTTGTGAAACACAATGGAATCAACCATATTCAAGAAGATTTCACTATGATCATATATTATTTCGGATACTTTTATAGAACAGTTACCCTTACATTTTTTTAGCCATTGTCTGGCCTAATGAACAAGGTAAAATTTGTGTAGGCTATAATGGAAGTTGGAGATGTTATTCTGTTTTATGATTCTGATAAGCGGTTTCCTGCTTGGGGATTTGGAGGAATGATACCCGGTAGTACCGTATCTCACTGTTTTAATCTGAATGGGAATCCAGCTAGCTCTGAGGTGAGAAATTCTTTCTGTTGCTTATAGTAGAATGGTTCTTTTACTTCTATCTCTATTCATCCCTAGAGAAGATAGAAACTTGTGCCGCAAAGCAATGATTTTAGATAATTCCTGGTAAGGTGGAAAACTATTGTTAATTCCTTCTTTAATAAACTCAGTTTTACCTCGTTCGTTGATTCTAATGATAATAACATTCACATAGAATATTGATCATATGAATGATGAGTATGAGAATAAACTCAATGAGTTTTTAAAATTTGTTGTAAAAATTCTTCGTAAAAAACTTACATCTCTATGTTTTCTCATTGCCAATTTTTGAGCAAGTCATAATATCAATGTGGCAACAAATTATTATGCATAACATTTCAAGGAAGGACTCTTACCTTCTTGCGCATTGATCATGAACTTGATACATTCTTTAGGTGGTAGGAGTTGAAGGCATAATGGAAGCTTATGCTAATGCTTTACACACAGGTTCCTTTCTACAGCCCAAGGATGATCCCGATAGTGAAATCTCCAAAGTAGTTCGAGCTATAAGAAAAAAGTTGCAGCAGATTAAGATGCTTGAAACTAAGCAGTCTAAAGGACATATTCTCACTGCAAGGGTTAAAATCTTTCTATAACTAGTTTAGAGCCAGTTTGATGTAGCATGTAGGATATTTCTTCTCCCCTGAACACTCCTAGTGAATATTCTCGAGCCACACATGTTCGAACACAAACATACATACATAAAAATTAATTAATTATTAAATTATAACTACAGGGGAAACTTGAAGCAAAGAAATACACTTTTTGACATAATCAGGGGGGAGTGTTCCATGACTCGATTCGCACTGTTCCATGCTTCATCGTAGCTTCAATCTTCGGTAAGTTCTCTCTCCCCCGTCTACAATAATCTTCAATTCTGTTTATTACTATGGTTTTGGCGAAATAGCATAAGAATTTTTTACCTATATATTTATGTAGTTAATTATTGATTGGAATTAATAATGTAGGGAAATGTTTGAAGTATCAAGTTCTGTCAGTGGTGTAGCGGTTCAACTAAAAATGATATACCTGATGGTGAAGAAAAATTGAGAGCTATATGTACAGTTTGTGACAAGATTGCTTATCGAAATCCCAAAATGGTAACTGCTACTACCTAGAATGCTTATTTGTAGCTTCTGTTTAATACAATTCAGTGTCTGTGTGAAGTAACTTCCTATTTCTATACATTTGCAGCATGTTATTCAGGGATTGCCTTCTTCTCTGGTCCCTGCATCTTGTTGTAATGCACTGCTAGAAGCCTGCCGTGTAAGTTTCACTTTGATGTTTCCATATTATTCTAATTTAATAGAAATCTAGGACCATACAAACAAGTACTTATGTCTTTTAATCAAAATTCATTTCCAATGATTGTTGTCTAATGAAAAGGTTTTCAAAATTTCTATCTAAATTCTTGAAGTTATAATAACTTCTACAATTAGCTGCAACTGTTAACCATGCCCAAGCAATTGTTATAACCTTATTAGAAGAATATACCAATTGTTATAACCTTATTAGAAGAATATACCAGCATATTTGGGGTAATCATGTCTCACAATGTTACATTTTGCATGGTTTCCATTCTTAAAATGAAACCATGATAAGATTATTTTCAGAATCCTCGGAAACTAATCAAACCTATAAAGCTACTACTCAAAGCTAATTATGGTTTTGGCGAAATAGCATAAGAATTTTTTACCTATATATTTATGTAGTTAATTATTGATTGGAATTAATAATGTAGGGAAATGTTTGAAGTATCAAGTTCTGTCAGTGGTGTAGCGGTTCAACTAAACATGATATACCTGATGGTGAAGAAAAATTGAGAGCTATATGTACAGTTTGTGACAAGATTGCTTATCGAAATCCCAAAATGGTAACTGCTACTACCTAGAATGCTTATTTGTAGCTTCTGTTTAATACAATTCAGTGTCTGTGTGAAGTAACTTCCTATTTCTATACATTTGCAGCATGTTATTCAGGGATTGCCTTCTTCTCTGGTCCCTGCATCTTGTTGTAATGCACTGCTAGAAGCTTGCCGTGTAAGTTTCACTTTGATGTTTCCATATTATTCTAATTTAATAGAAATCTAGGACCATACAAACAAGTACTTATGTCTTTTAATCAAAATTCATTTCCAATGATTGTTGTCTAATGAAAAGGTTTTCAAAATTTCTATCTAAATTCTTGAAGTTATAATAACTTCTACAATTAGCTGCAACTGTTAACCATGCCCAAGCAATTGTTATAACCTTATTAGAAGAATATACCAATTGTTATAACCTTATTAGAAGAATATACCAGCATATTTGGGGTAATCATGTCTCACAATGTTACATTTTGTATGGTTTCCATTCTTAAAATGAAACCATGATAAGATTATTTTCAGAATCCTCGGAAACTAATCAAACCTATAAAGCTACTACTCAAAGCTAACTATGGTTTTGGCGAAATAGCATAAGAATTTTTTACCTATATATTTATGTAGTTAATTATTGATTGGAATTAATAATGTAGGGAAATGTTTGAAGTATCAAGTTCTGTCAGTGGTGTAGCGGTTCAACTAAACATGATATACCTAATGGTGAAGAAAAATTGAGAGCTATATGTACAGTTTGTGACAAGATTGCTTATCGAAATCCCAAAATGGTAACTGCTACTACCTAGAATGCTTATTTGTAGCTTCTGTTTAATATAATTCAGTGTCTGTGTGAAGTAACTTCCTATTTCTATACATTTGCAGCATGTTATTCAGGGATTGCCTTCTTCTCTGGTCCCTGCATCTTGTTGTAATGCACTGCTAGAAGCCTGCCGTGTAAGTTTCACTTTGATGTTTCCATATTATTCTAATTTAATAGAAATCTAGGACCATACAAACAAGTACATATGTCTTTTAATCAAAATTCATTTCCAATGATTGTTGTCTAATGAAAAGGTTTTCAAAATTTCTATCTAAATTCTTGAAGTTATAGTAACTTCTACAATTAGCTGCAACTGTTAACCATGCCCAAGCAATTGTTATAACCTTATTAGAAGAATATACCAATTGTTATAACCTTATTAGAAGAATATACCAGCATATTTGGGGTAATCATGTCTCACAATGTTACATTTTGCATGGTTTCCATTCTTAAAATGAAACCATGATAAGATTATTTTCAATAACTTCTACAATTAGCTGCAACTGTTAACCATGCCCAAGCAATTGTTATAACCTTATTAGAAGAATATACTAATTGTTATAACCTTATTAGAAGAATATACCAGCATATTTGGGGTAATCATGTCTCACAATGTTACATTTTGCATGGTTTCCATTCTTAAAATGAAACCATGATAAGATTATTTTCAGAATCCTCGGAAACTAATCAAACCTATAAAGCTACTACTCAAAGCTAACTAGAGGTAATCAGATAACATTACACAGTTCTCAAAGTCGTGAAAGTTTGTTGTCACCCTTGACCAAACTAGATGCGTCCGACAGCAATTCCTGCTCTTAAGCCAGGGCTTCTCCTCCACAGGATCACGAAGATTTTGTTTGGGAAGATTGTTATCTACGCCAAAAGGAAGTGTCGCCTAACTTGAAGCAATTGAGACTCAGCGTGACAAGTTCCCTCTATGTTTTCCTTGTTTTGCTTTCCTTTTTCCTGCGGGTCGGTCTGCATTTTACATACAGCATCATACCAGCATATGCATTTGTTTGCATTTGGTTTTGGTCTCTGTTTGTTTGGCTGTCGCCCTTGAGATCCTTTGGTCTTTACCTCTATCGTTGATCTTCTTGCAGCAATTTTCGCTTCGAAGTTGACATCTTGGGATTGCTACCTTCTCTGAGAAGCTAGTGGTGACTAGCAGTATCCGATTTACACAAATGCGCGGTTGTTACCAATATTCATCTCTAATTTGGTTATCACCAATAATCTTCAAAAGTCTAGTAATTACTAGCATTGCTTGGAACCAAATATGTTTGGTGTCTCGATTTGGTCGTTACCAACAATTTTTCAAGAATTAGAGATCCTCCGGAGAAGACAGTTTTTATAGTGAAGGGGCCATCGTAGTTGGGCATCCACTTGCCGTGCATATCCTTCTGAGTTGGTAACATTTTTCGGAGCACAAGCTCTCCTTCCCTATACTCTTTGGGACGAACCTTCTTGTTGAACGCTCTTATCATTCTTTGTTGATAGATCTGACTATGACACATGGCCGTCATTCTTTTCTCATCAATGAGGTTCAATGAGTCGAACCTTTCTTTTATCCATTCATCTTCCTCGAGCTCGGCCTCCATCAAGATCTTTAAAGAAGGTATCTTGACTTCGATGGGTAGTACAGCGTCCATCCCATATACTAAGGAAAAGGGAGTTGCCCCTGTTGAAGTTCGCACTGATGTTCGGTATCCATGCAAAGCAAATGGTAACATCTCGGGCCAATCCTTGTAGGTTATGACCATCTTCTGTACTATTTTCTTGATATTTTTGTTTGCAGCTTCAACTGCGTCATTCATCTTGGGTTTGCAGCTTCAACTGCGCCATTCATCTTTGCTTAGGACATGATCAGGTGTACCTTGGGACAAGCAAAGATCCATGGTTTCCAAGATCTTTCAGATGCCTTCATTCAACAATATAAATACAACATGGACTTAGCTCTAGATCATCGTCAGCTTCTCAGCATGACACAAAAAAGCACTGAAACCTTTAAAGATACGCGCAAAGATTTGCGCGTACTCTTTAAAGGCTTCAGTGCTTTTTTGTGTCATGCTGGGAAGCTGACGACGATCTAGAGCTAAGTCCATGTTATATTTATATTGCTGAATGAAGGCATCTGAAAGATCTTGGAAACCATGGATCTTTGCTTGTCCCAAGGTACAGATGCCTTCATTCAACAATATAAATACAACATGGACTTAGCTCTAGATCATCGTCAGCTTCTCAGCATGACACAAAAAAACACTGAAACCTTTAAAGATACGCGCAAAGATTTGCGCGTACTCTTTAAAGGCTTCAGTGCTTTTTTGTGTCATGCTGGGAAGCTGACGACGATCTAGAGCTAAGTCCATGTTGTATTTATACTGCTGAATGAAGGCATCTGAAAGATCTTGGAAACCATGGATCTTTGCTTGTCCCAAGGTACAAATGCCTTCATTCAACAATATAAATACAACATGTACTTAGCTCTAGATCATCGTCAGCTTCTCAGCATGACACAAAAAATGACTGAAACCTTTAAAGATACGCGCAAAGATTTGCGCGTACTCTTTAAAGGCTTCAGTGCTTTTTTGTGTCATGCTGGGAAGCTGACGACGATCTAGAGCTAAGTCCATGTTGTATTTATATTGCTGAATGAAGGCATCTGAAAGATCTTGGAAACCATGGATCTTTGCTTGTCCCAAGGTACATATGCCTTCATTCAACAATATAAATACAACATGAACTTAGCTCTAGATCATCGTCAGCTTCTCAGCATGACACAATAAAGCACTGAAACCTTTAAAGATACGTGCAAAGATTTGCGCGTACTCTTTAAAGGCTTCAGTGCTTTTTTGTGTCATGCTGGGAAGCTGACGACGATCTAGAGCTAAGTCCATGTTGTATTTATATTGCTTGTT